CCTCCTTCTCCTTCTCCTTCTCCTCCTCCTCCTCCTCCTCCTTCGTTCTCCTCCTTCTTTCTCCTCCTTCTCCTTCTCCTTCTCCTCCTCCTCCTCCTCCCCCCCTCCCAAATGAATATGAAAAAAAAATCAAATAAAGATATTCACAGAGCAAAGCAAGAATAAAAATCAAGGCCTGGCATCAGTCAGATGGGATTGAAAGTGCATCGGAATAAAAGAGCTTTCGCCTGTTTATGAAATTGCACCAAGGTGGGGTCTTCATGTACTTCGTGGAGGGGGGAGTATTCCACGAGGTGGGGGCTGCTGCAGAGAAGGCCTGCTGTGTCTCCCAGACCCCACAGACCTCCTATAGGGAGGGAACTTCAGTGTCCAGACAGACCAACACTTTCTGTGTCACAAAGCATTACCTAAAGTATAACTGAAGTTGTTGTGATCTCTCTCTGCTGGAGACTTGCTTCTCCAGCCTGATGACCCTCTAGATGTCTTTGAATCACAGTTCCCGACATTCCCAGATGGAGAATAGGAACTACAGAGAGTGAGTAACGAATAGGCCATATTGACCCAGCCTGCTTAGTCTGGTTACAACAAAGCCACCCCAACACTCATCACCAGCCACTAGATCTTTCACGGTCTTGGAAAGGGGGTTTATGTGAAGACATCCGTGGTCTGATTCCGCCACAGAAACATCTGCTTGGAGAAACTACATTCCCTCCCTTATCATCCCTATCTGGCTGCCAGACATTATCCGCCTTTTCCCCGTCCTTCCTTGGAAGTATCTTGCTTCTGCTCCCCCCGTCCCCACAGCCTGCTCCTGGGGGACATCATTCAAGCAGAAGAAGAAGCTCACCAGAGCCTTATTATTTCAGATCTCCACAGTCCTCCCTTGACACTCCGAGTCTCCTTTTGTTTGTTTGCTCAATGCTAATTTTCCACCTTGGCCTTTTGAGCTGAGCGGAAGCAAAGCACCTTGGCTTTCGTCTTGTGTCCCTTACAAAGAAAGGAAAAGTTTGCTCTCATTAGAGGGTGGGCACTCTTACACCAGTTCCCCAAACGTGTCCGAACTCTCCATGGAGCCCTGAGTAGCGCAGAGACCTGAACCAGCTCTCCCAGCTGAATCTGCACTAGAGCATCTTCTTTGTAAAAAGAAATATCCAAGTTGCTTTGTGTTATCTCCACGCAACACATAAGATCCTAGACAACTATAGGAACGTGAGAGCTGGCAGACCAGTTTGGCCATTGCAAAGCTGGTAGATCACTGAGATCCTCAGCGTAGGTCTCCTGCGTGGACTACACAATGCAGGCTGGATGTTCTACAGGCAGTCCTTGTTTAGTGACCACAATTGGGACCAGCAACTCAGTCATTAAGCAAAGCAGTCACTAAGTGAAACAGTGACCATGCTTATGATCTTCCTTCAGCTTTCCTTTGCTTTACAGACCTGAGAACTTTACTTTTTCATCACTGTCATAACTGTGAATGGTCACTAAACAAGGTCTAAATGTATCCTTTGGTGCCACCTGTAACTTGGAGCGCTATCACTTGAAATTGAACGAACACCTCCCATTACATCTTTTGGGTGCCTTTTTGAAGCCCTCTTTCTTCATGTGAACATTGGAGG